TAAATCAACCTTCGCTTCTTATGAAAAACTTCATAAGAATGCAACTCATTTTCAGTATACTACTTAAATTGTGTTCAAGTCTGTAAACTTTGCTTTTAATTCAGAAAGCTTTTGTGCTGAAAATGCTTCCAATGGCTATTACATAGTGCTGCTAGTACAGTATGAAGACTCAATATTTACCTGTTTGGAATTAGCATTGTACCATTTCCAAAATAATTTCAGCATTTCTATCATAGTAGTACATAGTTCCATCAAAGAAACACAGTGGGCAGGAGGAATCTTATCTCAAATGGTAACCTCTAAGGGATTCACAATTCATAAAAGTCTCCCGAATACTAAGTTAAAAACAATCCTTATAGATCTGAATAGCTGTTTTATTCTATACTTTTACATTATCTTAAGCATACCTGCACTTGTATTTTTACTACAGATGTAACAAAACAGTCCAAAATTTAAAAAGCTCAGCTTCTCATAGAACAAGACCTATGGTTTTGCCATCAAGCTCCTGAAGAGAATGTACAACTAAAGAAAGGAAGATAGGTAGAAGACAATACCTAGAACACTTCACTCTACAGAAGTAAATGTATTAGAAATACACACATTACAAGTCTGAATTCACATAATAAATTACTCACTTGAGAAATCAAACTGTCAATTTAAAGCTTACTGTAAAGTCATTTTGAGAAGTGAATTATTAAAAAAATTAAGGTAATTAACACTAAATTATGTGTAAATAACTAAATTACTATAAGACATTAGTGATTGAACTAAACAAAGCCATTTTAGAAGCTTATTTTCTCTTTCTCTAAGTAGAGCATATTTCACCATATTTCACTGTGAGTACCTATGCCTCTTGAACCAGAAAGCATTCTGCCCAGTCTCAAAAAGTAATTCAGAATTGCCCTTTCACAAGCTTCAATCACAAAGGGGAAAAAAAATATAACAAAGCAAAAAAGAAATCTTATGAGATTTCAAAAATTACCTAGGAAGAAGAGAAAAATATAACTATCTCACACTCTGGCTAAAATTCTGGCCACATGTCAATAAATGACAAAACAGATTCATTCCAATGAGATCCAGATTTCATCCCAAGAGCAATTAAATTCTCAGCAAAGCAGCTAAAACCCATCTGTCTCTTCAAGCCAGATTTCAAGTATTACTCTATAATCCTATATTCTTGTAATTACATTGATGCTCACTCTGTATATACTCAAAATACTGGCTTTATTTATTTCAGCAAAAATTAATACAGCACAAACATTGTAAAATTACGAGATCCTACAGAAAAAATGGGTCAGAGGACTGATCTCTTTTGTCTTTTTCTAAGACAGGGACTTGATATGACCTGATAATACAGAGAAGTCTTGCAAGTTTCCTGTCTAAACCAATTTGCCCAAATTAAATTGCTTGAAAAGAAAAAAAAAAAAAACCAAAAAATCCCACAAAACAAAAAACCCCAAACCAACCAAACAAAAAAAACCCTGCAAACAAAACACAGCAGAAAGTGTACCTCACGTTGTTGAGCAGCTTTGTCATGAAACTGTAAAGCAGCTCGGTGTTAAAGTAGGTAGCTGAAACACGGGACATGAGCAAACAGTACAGGCTAAACGTTAAGTGAGAATACACATAGACAAAAATTGTCCATGTTGCTAATTTACAGAACCATCACAACTGTCTTCCTAAGCTTCAGTCTTCTTGCACAGAATTGAGCAGAAATACTATCAGTGATTTGTTGCTCAGCAGCAAAGACCAGTTGTTGAAAGGAGTATAAGGAATACCAATGAAATGAATGCTTAAAAACTTCAAAGGAGTTCAATTCTTAGAATGTTAACCAATTGATTTGTTGCCTTCAAAACTGGAATGAAACAAAAGTAGGGATAGTGGAAGAAGTTATTTTCTGTTACACAATTAGAGAATAAAAACATTTTCATCCTGACAAGGTCTCAAAGAAACCCACGCATGTCCTACTTAGCTGTAAGTCCCCATGGCACTGTTTTATGAGAGGTTTAGATTTGTATAACTTCTAAACTTCCAACACTGGATTGCACATTTTCTCCATAGCTGTTGGCTCAGTTAGTGAAGAACAGAAGGACTGTCCTAAAACTGGCCAAATTTATTTTACTGCCCCCCACCATGTCCTTAAAGCCAACCTCTACTGAGAAAAGCAAAGTTATCTGCTTTTCTTCTCCCCAAAAAAGGAACAAAAAGACTGAGCAGCCAGCAAGCTCCTTCCATTGTCTTCCTATTCTGGTTGCCGTTCCAGAAGCCTAGTTAAAATCACCTCTGCAAAAGCTGCCTTTCCAAAGACGGTCAAAACACTTCTAATCTGAGATTACCCAATAAGAGCTGCACCGCCACCTATAGAAAAATTTAGGACAAGCATTTAATATTTGCTGATACTAAGGATGACACAGCTTAAAAGACTAACAATACAGCAGCAGGATGGAAATTTAAAAAGGTGAATTTTGCACTAAACACTACCATTTACTCACAATCTAACTACCTGAATTGTTATTCAGCTACGTTGCTCCTACTCACCCCAGCCTGATGCCACGGAAACTCCAGAACCAACTGTTTGCTTTGGAGATTTCCATGGAAATATTAATTCCAAGGGGTAGTCAGGCTGGCATTAGCTCAAGCACGCAAAATTCTTATATCTGACTCATTCTTATATCAATTGGATTCTGACACACAGATATTAACTACTTTTATCTACACCATACTAGAGGACAGAAATCATGTAACTTGGTCACATAATGCCCAGCAATCAAAACATCTGATGTGCTGACTAATCACAACAATTACTCTTAACGCCTTCAGTTGTGGGGTTTTTTTAACCTGTCTTTATACTCAATGCCTGCAGAGAAAAGGAAAAACATGGAACAAAAGCTTACATTAACCTACCCAAGAACATCATCCTTCAGAAATAATGAAAAACTGTATCAGAAATTATTCTGCATCTTCAAATTAAAAGCAATCAGTGTTTAATCTTTAAGCTGAAGAAATCAAATGTATCATGCTTTCTACCAAAAACAACAAGCACAGGGAAAAAAAAACACCACTAAAAGGCAATTCAACAAACATTTCAGAGCTACATTTTCCCCTCAAAACCAAAGCTGACTGAAAATACATTTCTGCCTTGCAAAAATAGAAGATATATTATTGATGCTTCTCTCATTTAAGATAAAAATTCACAGTACAGCAAGCACTGTAATTCTGGAACAGCACTGACAAGATAAAAATCAAAATAAGTGGAAAAAACACATGAATTTTTAGATTCAACAGTAAGTCTTACTTACAACCTCTGCCTTTCTCCACTTCCTTAAACCTATTAAGCTCATTTTTCCATTTTTAAGCCCGCTCTAAAAAGCTATTTACTTTCAATAAACCAAAATAGTGAACAAAAATATCAAAAGCTTCTAATGTACCTCTGCTCCACAAGGCTTACAACAGCTTCTGTCAATCAGGACATTGATTGACTATCAATTCATACATACACACAGATTAATGCATGGAGGTCACATGTATCAAAAACCCTAGATACATAGTCCAAAAGCATGAGAAAGTAGCGTCTTTCATTTGTTTGCTAAATTACACTGTATGTATCAAAAATATCTATATTTAAAATTTATCATGGACAAAGTTTAAAAACTTCCCTTTTTTCCTGGCATGTGCATGCATGTGTCTGGGGAAAAGAGTGTTTGGTTTTGCAGTGGCCTACATTAAACTTTTTTGTCCCCTATAAACATCAATAAAGCTACAAAGCTCATACTGGAAAAGTCTCAAACTGCTTTTCCAAGCTGGCCACAATTACCACAAAAAGTTAATAACCATTTCTAAACTCTTTTAAGCACTACATCCCAACATTGTAATTTAAGACAGAAAGCAAACAATACCACAAGCAGCTGAAAATATATCAGGAATTTGTATGTAGTTACACATGAAAATATAATTACAAAGCTATGCCCAACTTTCAGGAGAAATCTCTGTTGTTCTGCTCTTGGGCTACAGCAGACAACCCTACTAAAATTACAAATCAAAGTCTGAGTAGGTGCCACAAACCCTGTCGAAGTCTGAAACTGGTATCTACATTACTAAATTGGCAGTGGTGACACAGTATCTAACACACCTGAAACACACGAAGCATGACACATTGAATATACAAAATTCTTTTTGTTAGAAGTTTTGATTGTTAGAATCATGTTAATAAAATCTGAGTTGCTTAACTAAAAAGTCTGTTCAGATAAAGGAATATTAACAGTGAAAAGTGATGAAGGAAAGACAGACAATATTTTCCTCACACCCACTGAAATCCCAAGGTTGGCTCCCTGAATTCAGCTGGAGGGTCACAGTACTGCAACAACTCTCCATCCATTCTTCAGACTGAGTGATGTTTCTTGCAGATCAGTTTTAAGTTTAGGAGTAAGAAAAAGTTTGTTATGTACCTTATGTATCACATTTGAGACACACAAAGAGTCCTGCTACAGTGAGCTACAGTCAGGTATCTACCTTCAAGATTCTATGCTTGAACAAACTGAGAAATCAAAGTAAGCTTCAGTTCAAAAGGGTCCTATTACAGTGGGTCCTATAAGTGTACAGTATAGAACCAAAACAACGGAAGAAGTCAGATAGGAATAGCTCTTTTCTTGTTTTTTCACTCCTAGGTTTAGAGTTGGTAGGAGATATTTAACCTATCATTTGCGTAAGTTATTTCCTTTACTCTTTGTGAGCACTACCATGAGATTGCATGAGGACGGACCTGTTCTGCCCTAACCTGAGAATAAGGAAAAAAAAAAAAATGTATGTAAATTACCTATCCAAAGTCACCTATCCAGAAACAGGAGCTCCTAAACAAGAAGTTTCAAAAAGCTATCAACTACAGAGGAAAGAGGAAACAATTATCAAGTAAAAAAATACAGTAATTCTGCTTTTAAAATATACTTAATAAGCAAAAACCTCAAAGCACTATAATTATGCAAGCTATGCATACAAATACATACTATGCTGTTCATTTCTGAAGATTCGTAACTTCCACATGGATGTACACTTCCAATAGGTTCCAACCCTTCTTCATCCCACATATACGTGCCATCAGAGCTGTCAGATGGAGAAAGCTCAAAAGAGGACCCAGCTCTGTAATTCATCTCTGGAGAAATCACATTCTCAGCAGTATGCTTTGTGCTTTCACTGTTGTCATCCACTGCTTAAAGAAAACAAGAATAGTTAAGATTCCAGAAACAATCTAATATTCAAAAAATAAATATTAAGATGTACAAATATTAAGATGTGTACTATTGGTGTTTTAACTTCTCTGAAACTGTACTGTAACAGAAATATCTGAAAGTGTTCTACAGTATTGTTCATTTATCCTAGAGCAGAAAACAGCTCAGGCTGGTTTGGTAGTTACACCTAAGCATCCTTCCAACCTACATCTTTGCTGGGCTTTTACACTGCACTAATTCACCCATCATAAAAGCTACTTTCTAGAAATCTGTATCTTTTTAAGATATTAGTAAGTGGGTCTAAAAGTATATCCTTTGGATCCAATCTTTCGACCGTAAAGTCTCTCAAAACAAGCATGTACTATGAGAAGCCCATCAGAGACTTGAGAATATGGCTTTTAAAAACATCTTCTGTCTCTTCCATGAATTCTTAAAGAATTAATATAGCATGCATCAGGAAAAAAACAAAAAAACCAGTGACATTCCTATTTATAAATTAACTGATTTAATTAGACACCCTACACTTATTCCCACTACTTAGAAGCAGTTACAGCTGTTCTCTGCCTACAGAGGTGGAGGAAGCGAGGGGGGAGGAGAAATTTCCTTAAAAGATCACCAGTCCAGAGAAATGAATAGCAAAGCAAGGATATAAAGAATCCCACAACCATAATGCAAGTGTGGTTGAAGGAGGTATCATTCATCCTTATCCCAAAGAAAAAGAGTTCTTCAAAATCATGCTTGGAAAAGATAACTATCATGCAGAAAAAGCGCTGGAAGAAAACAAATGGGCCAACACAGAGCCAAGTTGCATTCAGAAACAATTCACAAGCAATGGGCAATTATATAAAACAACTTCATTACAGTTACAGACTCTTGATTTAGTACCTAAAATTTCAAACAGAACAAAGTATTTACCAGACACGTTTATATCAAGCCAGTCATCAGCATTACAGCCACTTTCCTTGAGAGAAGTGAACGGCTCGATCGACGTTATACTCCCATGCTCTAATTCTTGAAGGCAGCTCTCCTTTTGCGGTATTTGTATAGTTCTGTTTGGGTCTTCTATATCTATGAAATCATCACTGAAGTCTTCACTCAAATCATTTTTTTCAGAGGATGACAAAGAAGATATAGATATTTCATCTCCATCATCGCTCATACACATGACTTTTGACCCATGTTTTCCCATACTTTCATGCAGGCCCTCATCAGAATCCGTTCTTTGAGCATTGCTCTCTATAATACTGTTTTTCTCAATTGCTCTATTAATATTTGTTGAAATTTCAGAGTTCTCCACAATGCACGTGTCAGGAGTTGTACTTTTGCTGCCATTCACGATATTTCCAGCAAATCGCTGCCTGGTAGGCTTCAGCAGAGAAGGCCGATTTAATCTGTATCCAAAAGAAGGTGCTGACCCAGATCCATTCGACAGTGGGGGCTTCTTTGAACAAGGAGCTGACATACCGGAGTAGGGCCTGGTAAATCCGTACTTCATAGGTTCATTTCCATTGGGTACATCCAACTGACGTGCATTTCTTGACAACAAAGTCGACCTCTGAGATGTCCTGGCAGCTAGATTTTGACTATGATAAGGCCTTGTAAGATCCACAGCTTTATTAAAGGAATGTGACCTGGTTAAAGATGCAGTGGGAAGGAAAGAATTCTGAATGGAATGTGAAAAACTTTGTGATCTTACCATTTTTTCACAGGAAAAAGCCTTGCTATTGTCTGTAGATTGTGCCAGGCTTTCTCCTGAACTTGTCCTTGTGGCACTGGAATTAGCTCTAGGTCTCTGCAAACCTACGACTGGTCTATTTCCATAAAATCCATTTAAATGTGATTTTGGAGCATTGAGTCCAGAATATGAGGTCCTTCCTGACAGGGTACCTTTGGCGAATTTTGCTGAACTAGAGAGTCCAGGCAAAGACTTTGGGTTTAATTCCTCAGTAGAAGATACAAACATATTGGTTTGCTTTGCTGCTTTTGATGCAACCGAAGCAGTACTGTTCAAGCCCACCCTGAGCACATCATTACCCAATGCTCCTTGAGATTGAGAATACTTCTCAGAATCAATTAATTTTTCATTACAGTTATGCTTAGAGTTTGTCTCTCTCCCATTTTGATCATGAAGTTGATATTTATTTGATTTTTTCCAATTGAAAGAAAAGGAAGACATGCGAACAGTGCCATTGTGCTTGCCAAAACTTTTGCCACCATTATTGCCTGCTAAACTAACAGCCGTCCCATTCGGCATAGGTTGCAAAACACTTCCTAAAGTTTTCGTTCCATATTTCGGTAGCCTGGAAACCAAGGATGTCCTGATTTGATTTTTTTCTTCCATGAGCTATTGGGTACATTGGTCCTTAAAGAGTGCTTGAATCTGAGGAAAAAAAAAAATATTAGACCTGAATCAACCACACATTAAACATAATTTTATATACATTTGCATCTATATGTTTACTACATTCCTGTGCATAACTATACCATGGTGATACAAAGTAACCCATACAACTTTTGTGAACTCCAGAGAAATACCTGTCACCAGTAGTTACTTGGCAGTAAGGTGTTATTCAGGTCACACCTTCCTCCCCCAACTTTCATTCTCTATATAAATGGCCCTTTTTTTTTTTCCTTCCTTTTGAAATCTATAAAATAAGCTTAAAAAGGAGTTGGTTTTTTTTTTTTCCATTTATCTATTTCAAGCAGCAAACTGAATTTTTCAAGTGTTACAATTATTAAATCACATACTTAAGACTTGATATTTAAAAAAAACCCACAAATAGAACATGGCACAAACCTGTAGTCAGCAATGTAAAACTGCAAAAATTATAATGTAAAGTCCGACTAAAAGCTAGTTTTTTGAAAATTATTTTCTTCAGTTTCCCCAATGTCTATGTTACAAGATACAAAATAATCACTCATCATCATCACCTTCACCACATCATTTTTTTTTCCAGATCTTACTGTTATCCCCAATTCAATATGAAAATTCCTAGCTGTTTTTTCCTCTGAAATGAAAACTGTAGTCTATTTTGGTCATCATCTTATTCATGTACAAGACTTGAGGTACAGCCCAACAGTTATGTAAGGTCAGTGCTAGTAAGTGAATTCAAAAGTTTCACTTCTGTGCAGCGACACATGAACACATAACAGTAGCTACAAAAGTACGAGATAGAAAGATAATTATAGCATTCATGCATTCCCTCGTATCTTGAATTTCACTTCCGTCCACCTGGTTTGGAATACAGGTATTCCACTACGGTCATGTCACTTTAGTCTATTTTATATAACACTTATTTTATAAAGCCATATCTGCTTTACAGACACATCTTTGCCTCAAAAGTTTTTGCCTTGAGAATTACGATATCCTTGCTTTGATATACTGCTTTTTGTTTCTTCCACACTCATCCACATACCCATCCTACTATTTGGACAACTAACTGTGTCTGTATCACCTTTTTGTACAGCACTTAGTCTGTTTTGCCTGGCTATACAATATGAACAACTTGTCTACATGTTATTATTAAAGACTTGCAATTCAGACAATAAGGCCTTGCGAAGTCTCCAAGTTTCAATGTTTCATCTTAAGGCAAGTTTTACTCTTGTGTTAAATTCTGTATTTGCAAGACCAGGTTTCTGTTTTTTCCAAGACAGTTGTAAAAGAGTATCTTGCTTTTGCTAGCCACGATGTTATGTTTTCGTCAGTTTCACCCGCTGGTCTTACAATGGTGTAAAGACACAGAATTTCAGTCATTTATGTTATTCCCTAAAACTATGATCCGTGTTTCTCTTTTCACAGACCTACACACAGCTGGCAGGACTAAAAAACCCAGGAACATTTTTAACCCACAGCAATCATGGTGAGAATCAACACACGGCAAGTAACATACTTATTCAAGGTATAGAAAATATCTTGTGTAACCACAGCAAGCATTACCTTAAAGGGAGTCACTCCCCAAGCTGCAAAACCTCACTAAGAAACACTTAAGATAAAATCAAAGTAGCATTAAATTCATGCAAACAGAAGTGCCCTTAGGATTTTGTAAATGAATAGGATGCCCCAGAGCTGTACTTCTGGAAGTGGATCTACATTAAAACGATACAAAACGAAACATACTCAGAGACATGGCTTCTTAGGGGCTTCTAGTGTAGTGAAAATACCAGAATCCACATCCTACAACTGGTAGAGCGCATTTCCATTCAGAACCACACAAATCCAGAGTTTTCAAATACTGTTAATTCTTGCACACCAGAGACATAACCCTCACCTAGGTGTACAAAGCAGCAAACAAGTATTTCACCCTGGCGACAGCAAAACATTTAGCTCACTGTGTATAATACGTGCCTATATGTAGATTTAGGTGTCTAAAGTTAGACATCTCAAAAACACTATGACCAACATCATTTACTAAGAAAAGCATTCACAGCATCTCATTCGTGTATCTGTACCTATAAAAAAGAAATTTGCCAACAGTGTACCTGTATACCTTGCAAATGCAAAAAACATTATGCTTTAGTATCACATGTCAACATCAAAGATATTTATTTTATGCCAAACATATACGGTAAAGGCAATAAAGTACACTTTTTTTTTAATAACTCCATGCATAAAAAATGGCCTTTAACATTATGATATATTCATTCACAGCAAGCATCGTACTGCAGATCCATCAAAAGATATCCCAACTCTAATAAAAAGGCTCAAGTCTCATAAAGAAATCTTCCGAATTAAGAAAGTTAAATTAGAAAGCTGCTAATTTAACTTTCATGCTTTATGGATAATTCCCTTTTCACATCTGTCTACCATCTCTCAGGTGGCTGCAAAATTTAAATGAGGCCATTTAGTTAGATTGCTTTAATCCTCCACCAAGTGCTGCAAATTAAACTTGAAAAGAAGACCTTTCAGTTCTCTAGGAAGGGTGCCTGCTCATTTATCCTTAATTGGGAAAAGACAAAACATTATCTTCAAGAAAACTGTACTGATTGCTTAAAACACTTCAGATAATTAAATTAAAAGACAAGCAATACTTGTCTGTGTTTGATTAGCTACATAACTGTAACTACTCTGTCGCCTTTTCAATTCTAGGTTGCATTTGTTTCGCTGAAATACAATGCCATCAAAAAAAACCCCAAAACTTAACAGTATCATATCTTGTATCATGTTACTTTTCCCAGAAAATGGGACATTTTCTTAAGTTCTCTTAAACATCCTCAATCTTGACATACATTTACTACTAGAAATTACACTACCCTAACAATGAAATTCCCTTATCAAGAAGCACAGTACCTGCCAGTTACAGTATGATTTCTGCATCCCACAAAACTCAGGTTCAATACAATTTAAGTCGTATTCTGCTGTACTATAAAGAAATTCAAAGTATTTTTAGACATCAGCAATTTATGGATTTTTTTTAAAAAGACATTTGAGCAAACAAGTCTTATATGCTTCGCCTTGGGAAACAGATTTTCTAGTGCACACAAGCCTAATCGGGAATTAAGCTAATTATAAAGAGCCTAGTCTTACATAATGATCCAGGGAAAAGGAATTAAAACTTACAGACCCTCTCTGAAGTACAATCTGAATTAACTGAAAAGCTGCTATACCCTTACCTTCAAGGATATTCAAGATCCTGGTGATAAGCAAAAGGATATTCATTCTTACTCTCCTTTGTGCTTTCTGTATAGGATTATTTACACCTCGACAAGATCCTCCAACGTTAGTTTCAACTAGCAAACACAACATTCACTTTTACTTCATTCACAGTCTGTCTCAGCAACATCAGGAAGGCCATTTCCTATATATTAACTTCTCAGCAAAGTTTAGTTTTGCATCTGAGACTCCACCCTACGTGTTGTGGAATGATTATTACAGCAGAAGACAGCTTAAGGTTCATACATTTCAATATTTGGGCACCTTAAAATATCGCAATCCCTATGATCCATGCTAGAGAGCTAACAGCATTTTCAAGTTCCAAAGAGATTACTATGAGTGGGACCAAATTCCCCTCCTATTGTCATAGGAGTGTGGAATAAACAGCTCGCAGATGAAACGTACCTGACAGACTGGTGACAGACAAGAGCAATTCTGCAGAACTATTGCTATGCCAACAGTTTCAGATGTATGTTTCATTATTCTTAGCAATTTTAAGACCACCTAAGCAGAAATACTGTGGAGCTAACTTAACTTGCTTTTCTTAGAGCAACTTCCTCCCAGTGTGAAGAATATTTTTGAGGCAGACAAACATAAGTTTGTGTAACAGGATTGTGCTGGAAAAATCAAGATAGTCAACACCTCCTTGCTGCTTCTGGGTAACAAAAATGACACTTTCCTGTAGGTCTGCAAGAAGCTCGCAGCTACAGCGGCACACAAGCTTCCTTACCTATCCAGAAACATTATGTCCATCAGTGTCCATATATCAGCAAACACCAATTATTAATCAGTCATTTTTTTTGGTATTTGGTGTGGGCAGACTGACAGAACAACTGCTATGAAGCCTGTGAATAAATAAATTATTCATATTTCTGCCATCATGTGCTGGATATTATTGAAGCCAATGAAGTTTAATGACCACATTTGCCAAGCCAGACCTTATACTCCTATTATTTGCCTTCCGCAGAAGGCCTAAGAATTAAGATACTGTCTAATTCTACTTGTTTGGCTCAGTGACAGGTGATCTGAAGCAGCAGTTTACCAATATTCATGCATATTTATCTTGCCAACTCTACAGTGCTAGAATTTCCAGGGACCTTCATTCTTCTTCCTATAAAACAAAAGCATATTTCTAGTATATAAAAAACATGGACAGGAAAGTGAGAACATTCCTCCAATGGTAAACTAAATTATCTCCTCTAGTGAAAAGCTTACTTGGCCACAGCATTACATTAGGGTAGAGAAAACAACTGTTAACTACTGTCCAACCAGTGCAGAAAATGAGTGAAGCCTACCCTTGGGAAGTGAAGAGCAAATGGCAGGCCACGAGCGGATGGCTTGAGGCAGGCACAATCTACTACCTTAAGTAACAATTACATCCTGTTTTCTGCACCACACTTTTAACAGGAGAGCCCTGCTGAAATCTGAGACACAAGACCACCTCTTCAAGGTGCTATGGACATGCTTCAAGACAGCTGCTCCTAACTTCCCACCGGCTTTCATGATAACCAAGATGCCCTCCACACAGAAAAAAGATACAAATTTGCCAACCTGAAAAAAGATTGTAGTTTACTTCTAATTATAATCTGCTGAATCTAGATACACCTCAGGGCTTTGTGAATTCAAGTGCACATGTAGTATTTCAACTCTGTCCACTGTGCATGGCTTACAAAAACCACCTCCGTATACCTCTGCGTTTTAACACCACAACTTCTATTTCTTTATTTATT